TCTGCAATGAGAGCGTCCTTCTTCATGTGAGGAAGCTTACTCTCGTTGCTGCCATGTATTTCAATGGACAATTCCATAAGTTTTTGAAGAGTTACGAAAGTCTTTGCAAGCGTGTCAGTCGGCAACTCAGAGAACGCATTTTCTACAGCAACAATAAGCTCCGTCTACCACATCTAGGAAACTTTTCCTGGATGGCAGGGACAACCTTATTTAAAATGGTATTAAAATAAAGTGGTGCGTCGACGGTTTGTGGGGTGGTGACCATGGCGCCCTTCGGCCTGTTCTTGCTTCCACGCTGCGCTGGCGCCACCTGAACGAAGGGTCAAACGCCAACCTTGCCGTCCCATTCCTTCTTGCCGTGTGGGTCATATCGCGGCCTGGCCAGCGGCAAGGAACATCACCTTCGTGATAAAGCGCTTGGACTTGACCGTCTGAGCCCCGCCACCTCTTCGTCCTCATTCACATAGTACCTACGTTTAACCTTCGTCACGTAGAACCACTTTTCGTCAACAGGCACATAGTCGTGCATGTCGTCGAAAAGATGGCGTCCACTTTGCTTTGCAAAGACCGAACGAAGGACATGGCGAACTTGAGCCGCTCTTCGACGTTCGCAAGGGTGAGATGGGGCTTGACGTGGTTGGACACCGCCTTGAAGCGAGAATTCTTCTTCATGTGGCGAAAGATCGTCGTCATAGGGATTCCACACGCAGCCGACAGAGAGGGCAAGGCCTGCAGTTGCATTTGTGGCACGTTTCCTATGGCAGCTTCAATTTCGTCGCTTGTTCGTAGCGCGTGGCGTCCAGAATTCCCTAGAAAAGTACATCCTCGTATCAATAATTGCGTAAACCAATACTTGTCAGGTTTGAGAGAATAACCTTTAGTTCTTGTGGCAACATCGGCGGCACGGTAGCCGTCGCGGACCGAGAGACGCGCTTGCGTCCACAGACGTGTTATCGTTCGCGGATGGCAGCGAAACTTCTGTGCAAGCTCGGTGAGAGCACCACGTGGCAGCACACCGTCAACGGCGACGCTAAGCAGCGTTTCGTATGTCGTGCGGCGATGGGCGAAGCTCAGGTGTTTGCGCAATTCCGCGAGGTCCCGGACGGCGACAGGAGCATCAGCGCTTCCCCGCGGTGAACGATGAGGCATGTAGGGGCGATAGGTGTGTGCAGGACGTGCTGTGTTTCCGATGAATTGTGGAATGAAGTACTGGTGGATCATTTTGCAATCGATGTCCATGACGCAGAAGTTTTGCCACGCAATATCTCAACAACCAAAGTGGCTGGAAAGTGCTATAAAGTACCTAATCAAAGCGATCTTGCGCTTTCCAGAACGCCTATCAGACACTCAATCGGAGTATTATTTAAAAAATGCCACCAACCACAAGTACAACATGACAAATTTTGTGGAACAGAGTAGTGCCTGTTGGTTGAACAGCGTTTTGATCTTGGTCCATCCCTTCCACGTCCCCCGCCTGTACACTCCGTTCCCCACGCGGATTATACCGTCCCCGCATGGACACACCGTACTCCGCATGCAACAAGAAGTGTGTGGTAAATATCATGCAGGAGTGACACAATTACACTGTTAAAGAAAATGCCTGCCTGCACGATGCCATAGCATTGTCTTCCGCCGACCGCCCCTGCAGGCGACCGCTTTTACTGCTCTGTTTGCTGCCGACTGCGTCAGTAGCATGTTGCCTTGGCGCTTGTCGGCCACCAGTCCATCCAATGCTTACGAGATGTCATCTTTTGTTAAAACACATCCTAGAACAGTGGCCTCAACAGTTATCATTACTCATTATGGCAATGTCTTTTCTGTAGTAAATGGAGAATTAGGAAAGCTTCAGCACACCGCACGTAATTTCGAGAAAGATATTCATTACACTGTACACTTAACTGAGTGATCTTTCAATTTGCTATGGACAAATGCAGGGGAAGGGATGGGGGGGTTAAGCCTTTTTTGCCTTCGCGAATATGTCACGGCGGATGCCGATGGGAGTGAGGCGGCAGAGGCGTTGGAGATGGATGGGGCGCTGGTGTTCGGACCGGTGGAGCGTGTCGAGGATGTCGACTTTGTCCTTGCCGTCGTAGAGGTGAAACATGAAGCCCGGTAGACGTTGGAGGATGTAAGCATGACTCCCATCACTCTCGTCGTGATCAGGAGGTAGAGACCCTCTTCGTCGGTGGCGGAAATCGCGTCGCAGACCACACCACTTGCTGTGCGAGTTGCGATGTTGTTGGTGGCCGCTTCAAGACGGAAGGGTAAGCCGTGTTTCATGACATGGCGGCCCATGAAGGGGCGAAACTTGGATTGGGGGATGGCCGAAGTTGGGTCGATACCTTGGGCGTCTTTGTACTCCTGGAGATCTTCGGCCGTGAAGCTAAAGCCAGATCCAGGAGATCACCGGCCTGGTGCAGAGCGGCCACCAGGCTAGTGTTGTCTTCATTAGCGCCGATCATGAGCCAGTCGCCGGAGTTGCGGCGCCACTTCATGAAGTCGACAGTGCGTTGGGAGGCGGGTAGAGCCAGGTACTTCTCCAGGAGGGCTTTGACGCTGTCCAGAGAGGAGTTTTCAAGTTCGCCCTCAAAAACCCATTCCTTGTTGGCGAAGGTGGTGGACGGATGAAGCCATTGGACGAGGTTCCACGACTCATCGGGCTGGTCGGGGTTGGCTTGCTTGTCGATGAGGCCGTCGATATGTTGAAGGGTGGGGTCTGCTGCAAGTTCCGCTTCGTAAGCGGAATTGCGAGAGCGACCAACGGTGGAGGCCGTGTGGGGCTTGGACGCTCTGCGGTGGACCGCACATATTTTCGAAAACAGGCGTCTGATACGAGAGGTGTCAATACTTAACCTATATGCAGTTCCGTATACTTTGTTTACAGTCCGCGAAGGCATCGAGGGGACCGAGATTAGGGTTAGTTGACATTATTGTATGTCAAAGGTAGAGTTTGAAATAAAATTGGTAGGAAAACTGGATATTATTTTACAATGCAAATATTGCATTTGAAAGTTATTCCGTATCAGTGTCACTTTGTCCAGAAGACGACTCCGACGAGGAGGAATCAACATTGTTCACTTCATCCATGGTAACGAGCAAATCATACAGGTTTCTCACAAGCTTCTCACAATGATGAACACAGTTCAAAATCATTGTAGGTGGCAGCATCGCAAAAGCCACGTCAAGGCGAGAGCGGACATCCGAAAAGGTCGTGTCGACGGTATACTGCACTCCAACGTCACCTTTTACTTTTGACCAGACCATTTCAATAGGTTGAAGATCCGAGTGATGTGGCGGAGTGTAGACCACGTTGTGCCCACGTGCACGCGCCATGGTCACCACAACCGGGTCCACACGAGCTGCCAATACAGGTTTGAGCCGTGACCATATTGCTTTCTTCAAATCGTTCACGTCAACATCAACTCCGTAGCGCTGGCACGCGAGAAGTAAGTCCAACTTCCGCCAAGTACAACGCGGGGTCTCCACAGGTAAAACCTTGTGGTACTTTGCATTATTCATAACGAACGTGACACCAGTCTTCCCCAGAGATTCGACTTCGTCCACGACTCTCACGAACCATCGAACGAAATACTCGTGTTCAAACGTTCCATGGTAGTCTTTCGGCTCCTTCTTTCGTTTTTTCCCACCCTCGAAAATGTCGAGACCAAGCAATTTGGCATCCTGTGGTCTGTTGGCCATAATACCAGCGATGAAACACAGCCGACGACCCTTGTGCTTGGCCTTTGGAGGTGCGTCGTACGTCGGATCGAACAGACTGTCTTAATGACGGGAGTAGTGATGGTGAATGAAGCTCTCATCCAGAAAGACAACAGGCGTCTCTGGTGGCAGCCGCATCATATGCTGCACGTAAAGGTCACGAGCTGCGGCATATGCACTTGAAACACTGTATGTGGCATGACCTCGGCGTTTGCCACGTTGGAAGCCTAGCTTCGCAAGGTACACTTGCACTACCCTCAAACTTCCTGACGTACTTGCTTTGTTGTCAAGGTCACAGTGTATGATTCCGTTTTCAACAACAAGGCAAATACGTCCTTGGCAACCGTGCGGACGTTTGTCATGCTGCGTTGACGGATGAATTGGCGAACGAGCGTTGTGACTGCACGTGTTCGAGGTATACGACTTGGTTATTGGTTCTGGTTTGACGAAATTGGCGCGACAATGACGGTTCTCGATCTCTCGTATTCTGTCCACACCTCCTTGACGACTTTCAAGCTACGTCCTAGGACCCGGGGGATCTTTTCGGACACGTTGCGGGTGTTTTCACGGCGATAAACAGCATGGAGACGGAGTATGTCAAGACGTTCTTCTTTAGTAAGATTTCTTGAACGCTTTAGTCGAATGTAGTTGGTAATATCATCATATTCGTCGTCGCTGATGGTGGCCATACCGAACTTCGTGAATGGACGACACCGGCACCACAGCATTATTCTAAAGAGGTAAGGCTTTCACAGGTCGAATTAATTAAAATATTGCCCCTCGAAATTTTTGTTTATTAATTCATAGAGGTTATTGGATTTTGCTGCGAAAATTGGATAAATTGCTCTACATTTCGCAAAATATCTCAAAGGTTATGCATTTTCAAGTTTTGCATTCATTAAACAACTTTTAGATGCCACTGAGCTCTGTCCACATACAAAATTTCAGAGGACACCCTTATATGCTTATAGAGATATGAATGAAAGTCTCCTCGATGCCTTCGCGGACTGTTAATATGAACTGGTTCCTCATAGTTGGCACACAAGAATTCTTCTTATATTGTCCTTTTCGCCAATATTTGGACTCTTGAGTGGATTGTCCAAAATCGATCGATCCATTTATATACTTCTGTTTGTATACAATACTCAACCAAGTAATAATCCCCCTTTTGCACTCAAGATGAT